GGCCTAGTTTCTTCTCTCTCTCTCTCTCCCTCTCTTTAATTTATTTGACAGAGTTAGAGAGACAGAAAGGTTTTCCCTCCGTTGGTTCATTCCCCAAATGGCTGCTACAGCCGGAGTTGTGCCCATCTGAAGCCAGGAGCCAGGTGCTTCCTCCTGGTCTCCCATATGGTTGCAGGGGCCCAATTGGGCCATCCTCCACTGCCTTCCCAGGCCACAGCAGAGAGCTGGACTGGAAGAGGAGCAACTGGGACTAGAACCCGGTGCCCATATGGGATGCTGGTGCCGCAGATGGAGGATTAACCAAGTGAGCCACGGCGCCAGCCCTTGTGGCCTATTTTCACTGTCCAGTTCCTAGAGTCAGTAATTTAAGGAGCCCTGGTTCTTTTATAGGAAAAATATTTAGAAATCCAGATTTGAATGCTCAGTATGGATTCAATATGAAACAGAAAATGTCCATGATAAAATTCCCAGTTGTTTTCCAGGTAAAGAATTAGGAGACTGACCAATATGCCAGGGACAGGACATTCACTAGAACCACAGATGAACCCAAATGTTTTCATTAGCAGAGACCTAAGAGCAGCTTTTATCATAATCCTACATAAATATAGTTGAAGATTGCTGAACTGAATGGTTACATGAGTAACAGATTTTGAAATGATAGAAAAAAAATTATGGAAAGATTTCTAAACACAACAGTAAAAAATACATAAAAGAACCAAATGAGGGGCTGGTGCTGTGGCGTAGTAGGCTAAGCCTCTCCCTGCAGTGCTGGTATACCTTATTGGTGTGGTTCAAGTCCCAGCTGCTCCACTTCCAATCCAGCTCCCTGCTAATGGCCTGGAAAAGCAGTGGAAGATGGCCCACATGTTTGGACCCCAGCACCCATGTGGGAGACCCAGAAGGAGCTCCAGCCATTGTGGCCCTTTAGGGAGTGAACCAGAAATACTGCGTACTTGTTCATTGCTGGAAGAAGCATGTTCTGTGTTACCTTTCCCAGTAGACAGAGAGAACCTTGGAAGCCTGTGTTTGGATTCCTCCTGATGTGGCTATTTTTTCCTTGTGGATCACTGTAATACATGAACCATGGTTGTAAATACACCTTTCTCTGGCTCCTGATGGTCCTTGTAGCAATTTGTTTTACGTGTTATATGTAGTCTTGGAATCACTGACACAGTGACATTTTCATCTTCATTTAAGATTTGTTTTGTTCAGGTTACATTAAAAAACCTATGAAAATTGCACGTAGAATTGTGGCCAGACTATTAAAATTTGTTTTATTTTGCCAAATGCACCTTGACCCACATACATTTTTTTTTTTAGTTTGACATTTTTATTCTATTGAATGTGCCTATCCTTGAGCATAATAGCCATTTATTCAGACTATCATCTTGGTCCTGCAGCATGGTTCTTTTTCTTATTAAAGCTTTTATGTATTTTTGGTTGGATTTGCTATTGTGGATTTTTCATATGTGTTATAGGAAATTAATGGTATTTGTATAATTAACTTTGTGCTCATAAACCTTCTCAAACTCCTATATTAGTTCTAATAGCATTTTTTCTTTTAATATTTTATTTATTTACTTGAGTGGCAGAGTTACAGACAGAGAGAAAGGAGAGACAGGTTGAAAGTTCTTCCATCCACTGGTTCACTCCTCAAATGGCCATAACAGCCTGAGCTGGGCTGATTGGAAACCAAGAGCTTCTTCAGGGTCTCCCATGTGGGTACAGGGGCGCAAGCACTTGAGCCATCTTCCACTGCTTTCCTAGGCCATAGCAGGGAGCTCCATTGAAAGTGGAGCAGCCAGGACTTGTACCAGCACCTATGTGGGATGCTAGTGCTTGCAGGCGGAGGCTTAGACCAATATACCACAGCACTGATCCCTATTCTATAGATTCTCCTTATTTTCAATTAGATAGTCAATTTTTTAATAAGATTTTGTTTATTTGAGAGGCAGAGTTACAGATAGAAAGAGGGACAGAGAGAGAGGGAGAGGGAAGAGAGAGATTGATCAATCGCTCTTCCATCTGCTGGTTCACTCCCCAAGTGGCTACAATGAGCAGAGCCAAGCCAATCTGATACCAGGAACCAGCAGCTTCTTCCAGTTCAGGGCCCAAGTAATTGGGCCGTCTTCTACTGCTTTCCTAGGCCATAGCAGAGAGCTCTACTGAAAGTTGAGCAGCCGGGACACGAACCGGCTCCCATATGGAGTGTCTGCCCTGCAGGTGGATGCGTAACCCACTAAGCCACAGTGCTGGCCCCGAAAGTCAGTTTTCTAAAAGTGAAAATATTAGTTATGCTCTTCCCCACTATTTAGACCTTTTAAATTTTATTTTGATTTTTTTCCTTGATCTATTGGGAATCCTGATACCCACATATTTTTATTTCTTGTATGTGAAACAGACTGTAGAGAATTTGGCTCTTGAAGGTGATGCTCTCCAAGAAAACTTGCTATGCATTTGTGGTGGAAACATTCTGTACGCCATCCACTGTGACTTGCATGACTAGTAAACACTTGAAATGTGCTTGTAGGCCTGGGCAGTATGTGGCACAGCAGGTTAAGCCACCATGTGGTGCTGGCATCACACATTGGAGTACCAGTTGCTAATGCCTGGGCAAGCAGCAGAAGATGGCCCAAGTTCTTGGAGCTCAATTCCCCATGTGACAGACTAGGCTGCAGTTCCTGACTCCTGACTTCAGCCTGGCCTTGCCTTTGCTTTTGTGGCCATTTGGGGAATCAACCAGTGGATGAAAGATATCCACCTTCACCTCAGTCTTCCTGTCTGTCTGATGCTCTTTCAAATGAATAAATACATCTTTTTTTTATTTTATTTTATTTTATTTTTTATTTATTTATTTATTTATTTATTTATTTTTGACAGGCAGAGTGGACAGTGAGAGAGAGAGACAGAGAGAAAGGTCTTCCTTTGCTGTTGGTTCACCCTCCAATGGCCGCCGCAGTTGGCCTATAAAGACCTATTTATTTATTTGAGAGGCAGAGTTACAGAGAGAAAGGTCTTCCACCTGCTGATTTACTCCCCAAATGGCCACAATGGCTGGAACTGAGCCGCTCTGAAGCCAAAAGACAGGAGCTTCTTCTGGGTCTTCCATGTGAGTGCAGGGGCCCAAGCACTTGTACCATCTTCTGGTGCTTTCCCAGGACATTAGCAAGGTGCTAGGTTGGAAGTGGAGCAGCCAGGACCCAGCACTGCAGGCAGAGGCTGAACCTACTATACCACAGTGCCAGCCCCTGTCAGTAGCTACCATCCTGAACAGCTCAGGAAACATGGCATAATGGAAAGACCTCCAAGGTTAGATGGACCTGAGTATCAGTGTTGATCTTCTTGCTGTATTCAACTGCTTGTGCAACCAGATAAGTCTTAATTTCCTGTGCATACAATGAAGATGATAGTGTCTATAAAATAGATAACAGACACAAATGTTACCATTTAAAAGGGATTAAATGTATATACATTGAAAAGGAGAGTAGATTAGGGGACAGTCAGACAAAAGAGAATAGCCTTATTGGAAATGTTTTACTTTCTCAGGATAATCATTTTGAAATGGTACCAATGGATGTAGTTCCCCAGCCATAAAATGTGAATAGTATTTGAATTTATACATGCAATCTGTATGTATTTTATATAACTTATTTTGCCCAGTTATAGTGGGAGGTAGATCTATCTTATTTTTTATTATGTTTTATTTTATTTTTTACTTGAAAGGCAGAGTTACAGAGAGAAGAGGAGGGACAGAGAGAGAGGTCTTCCCTTGCTGATTCACTCCTCAAATGGCCACAATGGGTGGGACTAGGCCAGGCTGAAGGCAGGAACCTGGATCTTCTTCCAGGTCTCCCACGTGGGTAGCAGGGGCACAGACACTTGGACTATCTCCCACTGCTTTCCCAGGCACATAAGTAGGTGGCTGGATCAGAAGAGGAGCAGCCAGGTCTGGCAGCATCACAGGTGGAGCCTTACCCTGCTATGCCACAGTGTCGGACCCCACCTCATTCTCTTTAAAGCTACATAGAGGCCGGCGCCGCGGCTCAATAGGCTAATCCTCCGCCTAGCGGCGCCGGCACACCGGGTTCTAGTCCCGGTCGGGGCGCCGGATTCTGTCCCGGTTGCCCCTCTTCCAGGCAGTGCAGTGGAGGATGGCCCAGGTGCTTGGGCCCTGCACCCCATGGGAGACCAGGAAAAGCACCTGGCTCCTGGCTCCTGCCATCAGATCAGCGCGGTGCGCCGGCTGCAGCGCGCCGGCCGCAGCGGCCATTGGAGGGTGAACCAACGGCAAAGGAAGAGCTCTCTCCCCCCTGTCCATTCTGCCTGTCAAAAAAAAAAAAAAAAAAAAAAAAAAAACTACATAGAATAGAATGATTTGGATATAGATCGTTTCCAAATTTCAATATTGGGAATGTGTTTTATTGAACATCCTTGTTCATGGTAATGAGTGATATTAGTGAGACAGAATGCAGGCATTTTACTAATAAATTATTGATGTATTTGATAGTCAAAGAGGGAAAAATAGAGAAAGAGAAATCTTCCATCAGCTGATCAGAGTCAGCATATTTTTTTTGCTAACAAGAAAGTTGATTTGTTGAAATACATTTTCAGCAAACTGTATTCCTATTGTTTTTTACATAAGGTGTAATGAGTGTCATTTCAACTTAATATAAAGAATATATATATTTCTACTTCATAATAACAGATGTATTTACTGCCATAATGTATTATTTGGACTATGTTTTCATTCTTCTGGGTAATTTAATTAGGTAGGTTTTATAGTCTTCTCAATAGCTCTGTATCTAATACTTTTTTTATTATTATTTCCCAAAATACCTATTTTACTTGGTCCATTGGCGCATTATCAACTTCTGCTGCATTCATCCATTTGCTGATTAACCAGTCAATCTTGAGATCCAGGTAGAAGCTGCAATGCTGTGGCCTTGTTCGTACTGCCTGTGTTTTCATTTTGTCCTTTTCCCCCTCCCTCCTCTTTACAGTACTGGACATGGCAAGACATGTGCCACTCTATCGAGCTCTGCTGGAATTGCTCCGTGCCATTGCTTCTTGTACATCCATGGTGCCGCTCTTACTGCCTCTTTCTACAGAGAATGGCGAAGAGGAAGATGAACAGTCAGAGTGTCAAACTTCTGTTGGTACATTATTAGCCAAAATGAAGACTTGTGTTGATACCTACACCAACCGTTTAAGGTACTCTACTTTGTTGGCTTCTCTTGATCGTCCTTCTAACAGTATTTTATTTTTTAATAGCTCTCTAGGTGTTTTTGTTTCAATTATACATGTTATTTAAACACATATATGCTATCCTTGTATTAAAATCTAAAGTATGGTATCTATCTGAATCCTACACTCAGAAATATTTATCCTCAGTGGCTTATCAGACATAGCCCTATATGATATGGTAGCTACAGCCATTTCTTAAATGATGCCGCAATCTGTTAGACAAGTAACTGTTAGCTAGCTGCACTCAGTATTACTGTCAGAGACATCTCTCAGTGCCAATAAATACATTTCACTGACATTGTCCTTAACATTTCTGATTCTCCACTGTATATAAATGCTCTATTTCACTTAACCATTTTATTAGTTTCAAGATTTCTAGTTTGTAAAAACCTCATATAAACATCTGCAGTGTAGAATTTTAGAGGAAGAATAATTAGCTTTGTGGGTTACTTCTGTTTTATTTTGATGCATAATAATTCATGCTATGATTGTTCTTAGAAGTCAAAGGATTCAGCATTCACTTAGAGTTAACATTCAGCATTCACTTAGAGTTACAGTAAATTATTCCTCTTTACGGAAAAATGTTTAAGTTTATAACAGTAGACTCAGATGATGAATTCTATTATTAAAAACTCTAACCTAGAAAACCTTTTCCTTTCTGTTAGCAGTCTGTTCAGTGATTGTTCTTTTCTCCTAAAGATGGCCTGTTTGATTTTTAAGGCACTTATCTTTCCAGTAGAAATGTATTTCTTTGTCAGTGATCTTTGTAGTGAATTAAAGTTCTTTACCCTTTTGTACTGTATTTGCTTTGCCTGTTCTCGCTTAGATTTTAAGGAGCTGCAACTTAGATAGTGTAGGTCAAACAATGACAGAGATTTGGTGACTAGAGGAAGTCTTCACCTCTTAGGGAAAATTAACTGCTCAAATAACCCTGTCTGTGTTGATTTATGTCCTTAAAAAACTAATGGTTTCTGCCAGACAGTGAAAAGAAAGAAATGAGAAGGAGAGCCAGTTGGCAGAGAGAGAACAGCTATAAGTTCATATTACTCTTGTTACTAGGGAAGGAAAATATAAGGGATTGTTTTCTCTGATAGTACGATATTTTTTCTGTTACTTGAGAGAGAATAATATATTTGGTTCCATCTTCTCTTGTGCTCCCCTGATTACTAACCTAGGAAGCCAGCATAATTGTGTAAAAATAATATGTTTTAATTAAACATTTGATTCTTTAATTGAGCTAATATCTTTGGGACGCATCTTCAGTGAATGTCCTATTCTCTTCTCTGGCCACTCTGTCTCCTACCATAAGCATATACAATAAACAGGTAGTTTTTGGCCAGTCTAATAGTATAATGCACCAAGCCTCGACATTGCCTACATCAGGGGAAATTTTCTCTTGTATTTTTGTACTTTAAATATCTGTATTTTGAGATGATGATGTTAGTTTGTAACTAAATGCTGAAAATTTATAGAATCTTGAGTGATTTTCTTTTTTTAAAAATATTATTTATTTACTTGAAATTCAGAGTTGCACAGAGAAAGAAAGAGAGGCAGAGCAAGAGAGAGAGAGAGAGAGGGAGGGAGGGAGAGAGGTCTTCCACCCACAGGTTCACTCCACAATTGGCCATAACAGCCAGAGCTGTGCTGATCCAAAGCCAGGAGCCAGGAGCTTCCTCTGGGTCTCCCACAAGGGTGCAGGTGCCGAAGGGCTTGGGGCATCTTCTACTGCTTTCCCAGGCCATAGCAGAGAGCTGGATCAGAAGTGGAGCAGCTGGGTCTCGAAACTGGCGCCCATATGGATGCCGGCACTGCAGGCGGCGGCTTTACCCACTACGCCACGGTGCCAGCCCTTTGAGTGATTTTTCAACCATGGTTATTTTATTTCTTAGGTAAAAAAAAATTTCATTTATTTTTTAAAGATTTATTTTATTTATTTAAAAGAATTAGAAAGAAAGGTAGAGGCAGAGAGAGAGGTCTTCCATCTGCTGTTTCTCTCCCTAGATGTCCACAACAGCCAGAGCTGAACCAATGCAAAGCCAGGTGCTTCTCCTGGTCTCCCATGGGGTTCAGGGGCCCAAGCACTTGGGCCATCTTCCACTGCCTTTCCAGGCCACAGCAGAGAGCTGGATTGGAAGAGGAGTAGCTGGGACTAGAACTGGCACCCATATGGAATGCCGGCTTTGCAGGCCAGGGCTTTAACCACTGTACCACAGTGTCAGCCCCTTGAATGATTTTTGAACCATGGTTATTTTATTTCTTAGATAAAAAATTCATATTAATTTGAAATGTTTTAGTTATTGCCTTGGTTAGAAACAGTATTACAAGTTTGTAGTGCTATAAATCTAAAAAGAAAACCAATAAAATAGAATTATCTATCTTTATTTCCTATGCTGTAATTCCTATTGGATCCAGTATAAATGGAGTTATAGTGTGGTAAATTCTAAGATAGTTACAGAATATGCTTATTAGAATGAATGGAATTTGGTTGCTTAGAGTGTCTCTTTACTCTTCTTGCTTTTCTTAAATTACTCTTTTACTTGATTACATAACATAATTTTTAGGGAAGAGGAATCTTCTGTACAAAACATGTTAATTAATTTGCTAGGAAAGTTTGATTTCAAATAAAGAATAGCTGTTTTGTTTAACTGGAGCTCTTTGTTTTTCTGTTTGATCATCTGGAAAAAATGACACTTCAGACTTGACAAGCACACTTTTAAAGTTCGCAATGACTGTTGATGGAGCTTCCTTCAGCTGACTTGACAGTGACGCTGTACAGAAATGTTTTAGTAACTCGGCTTTACTGAGTAGAGAAACAGTACTAGGATGTTTTGAATATGCTTCATTGAGATCCCTCTTGGTCTCTGCTGTGCTGTGAAGCCTTTATCAGAAAGAAAACACAGGAAGGCCGTGTCATTACATCCCTGTTTTACTTTCAAGGCTGGGCATGCGGAGAACATGTGAAGTTCGTTCTTTGCTAACCTATCAGTACTTTATGTCGCCTTCTCGTCATTTCTCTTCCCTCTTTATACCTCTCTCCTCTTCTTTCCTTCCTACAAAAGACATGTAATATTTTTTCTTTCAAATGAAGTCTATATTTAATTCTTTGGTAATCTTAAAGAAGAACTAGATTCACTGTGTACTTTGCAGATCTCTATGCAATAATTGTGGTTACATAAAGTGATTATTATTGAAATTTTGATGATAATTCAAAGAATGAAGGAGAGTCTATAGGTTAGTATGCCCTAAGCCTGAAGTCTTTTATAAGAGGAGATGGAAAGATAGTATTAAGAAGGTGGAAGGACAGATTATTTATGTTTATCTGGTTGATGTATTAGAAACTCATGATCATGTTTTTTTTTTTTGTTTTTTGTTTTGTTTTGTTTTTTTGACAGGCAGAGTGGACAGTGAGAGAGAGAGAGAGACAGAGAGAAAGGTCTTCCTTTGCCGTTGGTTCACCCTCCAACGGCCGCTGCGGCCGGTGCATCGCGCTGATCCAATGGCAGGAGCCAGGTGCTTCTCCTGGTCTCCCATGGGGTGCAGGGCCCAAGGACTTGGGCCATCCTCCACTGCACTCCCGGGCCACAGCAGAGAGCTGGCCTGGAAGAGGGGCAACCGGGACAGAATCCGGCGCCCCGACTGGAACTAGAATCTGGGGTGCTGACGCCGCAGGCGGAGGATTAGCCTATTGAGCCGCCGCGCCCGCCTTAGACAAATTTTTAAAAACCTTAAAAAAATAAAAAGTGTAAGACACTAAGGAAGAATCAGTGATGGTTTGAAAGTCTAGCAGATACCTAGGAATTAGTTAAATGAAGAGGCTAACAATGTTAGCAGTCAGTGGAAGCAGTATGTATTCAGAGAACTGCAGGAGCTTTGGTCCTGCCCTGGCTGTAGTCCAGGTGGAAAGAGGAATTCAGGGACTGGAAGATGAAGAGTGATCACAGATTTTCTTATTTTTGCAAGTACCTGGTGATGAGCACAGAAAGATTGTCAGCAGAGATCTGATCAGATTTGCATTTAAAAAAACATGTTCATTTGGTGTAGTTCTGTGCTGGGACTTAAACAAGAGTAAATTGGCCATGAAAGAGATTTGCATCCTTTTCATCTCAGTAGGTAGAGTTGCATGTGCCCTCTTCCTGTCTGACCATTTCTAAGAAAAAAGAATTTGGTGCTCATTATCACTGTTGCTGTTGTATTATGGACTTAATAGAAAGTTACTTCCTAGATATGACTATATTTCACTTTCCAGACATTTTACTTCAAAAAAGCAATTATGTAACTCAGACTTTTATGCCACTATTTTCTGTGTTAATATTAGTAACTGCAAATATGTCTCTGAGGATATCATTCAGTAGAAAACAGATGCCACAGCCTAAATATTTCTGGATGTATAACTTCTTTTATTTGTATATAAGAATCTGTAATCTGCAATCCTAAGGAGAAATTTTCTAAAAGTAAGCACGCTGCTGGGTTGGCTTGATAATCAGTTACTAGTAGAGAATCTTACATCTTTTGTATTGGTCTGAGAATGACAGAGTGGGACTACAAACATGTTCACATGTTACTCTGATAATCCCTTAGACCTGTTGCCCAGCTAAAATTGGAAACCTGGAAAACTTCTACAATAGTGATGGGTTTTAAGTTTTTTCTTTCCCGGTGCATTTTGTCTATATTATTTTGGAACTTACCCAGATCCAAAAGAGAATTAAAGGAATAGTGGGATAATGTTAATCTGATCAAGTAAGTCCAGTAGTTTTCATGATTGAAAACTGAAAGTCATGTTTTTTGGTAGAAATTCTTTGTCAGACCATAGAGCCTGGACACCTGTGAGGAAAAACTTAGATCTGATACCAATTATATTTTTATTGTTTGTTTAGACTTTTTCTTTAGATCAAATAGCATTTTACAAAAAAGGATACATTTTGTTTTGAGAAAAACTTACAATTATTAACATAATTGATATATATATA